TACAAGACCTTTTTGATACATTGTTTAAATAAATACTCATATAATATTTTTCCTTAGTGAATTATTTATTACCGCGAATTAGCGAACACGCTACATTAACGCGATGACGGTACAATACTATCAAAGAATGCAGTTACGACGATACAATACTATCACAGAATGCAGTTGTGAACAGTACAAACTATCAAAGAGTACAGTATTCTTTGATAGTATATGATAATTTGTTTATTCAAACATTGACGGAAATTACTCATTGTTAAATAACCAGAATAAATATTGAAAGATAAAGATAATATAAAGATAATATAAATATAATACTAATAAATAAAATAATATAAATATAAATAAATTAATTAATTAAAATTTATAAAAAGAGAAAAAAAAAGAATACATAAAAATAAATATAAATAAATAGATAATGTATACATAGAAATAAAAGGACTATATAAATATATTTACAAAAAATGAATGAAGATTTAAATAAAAAATATACAATAAGTAGCAATAAAAACGATGTGTGTCTGTACGACGAGAGAATATCTTAATTTTTATATAATTATTCTAACGCTGCTGAAAAGTGATGACTTCGAGGGTAAAATTTTCCTGTAATGTAAGTAGAGTGCATTAGAATATTAAAATAATTGTTAATTAATCGATAGAAGTGTCTATTGTTGTCTAAAAGTTCAGAATATATGATCTGTGTACCTTACCCTTCGAAATCCACCGTTGAACTGAGTCATTGTCCTCTATGGAATTTCTTTTATTAAATATTGTTTATATGACTTTCCGAAGGAACAAATTTGATTTACTGCGCAAATTACTTTCGTTATACATCTATGTAGCCTCCAGCAAGTCATAAAAAATTGTAAAATTGAAAAAGAAGAACATTAAATTATGCCGAAATGAAATAATTAGTTTATACAAATGTTAGATTATTATATAAAAACAATAAAGAAACTTGTATTAATGGTGAAGGAAGCTCAAAATACGTTCCCTTTTTTATTTTCAAGCTTAATTAAAATCAATACTTATGATATATAAATAAATAAAAAATAAATCTAAAAGGTAATGAAAGAATAAGTGACAATAATCTTTTCGTATCTTAATCATTTATAAACGCAATATAATAATAATAATAATAAAGATAGGAAAATTTTTTTCATATCCTTCGCATAATTGTCATGTTAGTCGAACCATTTTGATTATTCCATAAAGTAAATTGTCCTATAAGCGTTTTCCTTTTTTAAATCACAAAATTCATATAAAAATTTTATATAATTTCGAAAGTGTACTGTAGACGTATTTACAATATACGTACGTCTTCATTATTTCCCTAAATTTAATCGATAAGGGAAATACGGCAATAAACACTATCGATTCACCAAACCAGCAATCCAGGAAGATCATGGATATTTTTCGTAAGAAAAACTTGGAAGTACTAAAGGAGTTGTTACTGCTGTAATTCTTAAGAACAATATTATAATTCTTAAGCATGTATAAATATATATATACATATTAGTTGTGATTTACGGCAACGATCAGTAGAAAAACATAATTAAATGAAAAAGGGAAAAGAAATGATGATAAACAAAAAATCGCTTAAATCCTTTGGCGTCACAGACGCAGCAGTGGTATTTTCTTCAAATTCGAAGTACTTAAAATTCGACGATATCACACAACGTGCGTTACACCGGATTGGAATAAATTTAAACCGTTTCTACCCTCGGTATCCGTAGATTCGATTTGTTCTTTAAGCAATTCTAGTTCCCTTATACCGGATACGGTAACCTCGTACTTGTGAGCTACTAAACTACGATAAAAATGTATCGCAAAAGCGAGGAAGATTATCAATACTGGTATCAGCACTATACATGCCGACCATGCGGCAACTTGAGAGGTATCGTAAAATTTAACCCAACAGAGAATCGCTATCTCTAATAAAAAGAGAATTAAACCAAGTAAAGTTGAGAACGCCCATGCTACCTCTATGTACCAATGGAGACGTTCGTGCGGTGACTCGTGTACGAGACTTATACTGTGTAAGTTGCAAACCGCTTCAATATTCGGTAGAATACACGTTGATATCATCAGCGCCAACATGTGAACAGCTACTAGTAACGTCGTACAAACTGCGAAAGCGATTAACATCTCTGGAGGAACTTTAGTATCAGAGTTTAGTTGTACCTCCACCATAGCGACCTGTTGACAATTATAATCGTTCATCTTAATATATGATTTCATCTATGTTAAAAAAAAATAAAGACTATGAGAAAGATATACAGGGTATCCTTAGCTGAAAAGTCTACATTGCAACGATTTCGATATTTTTCATATCATTAAAGAACAAAGGGGAGATATCTACGTATTTTTTGTTTGTAGCTGTACCATATACTACATGATAAGTAAACATAAACTGTAGTCATACCATAGCGAAACCCGAGAGCAACGCCGAGGTTTTGCTGGACGCTTTCAGTTTCGCTCTGCTTAGCTGCAATTTTCTCCATGAGAGGTAACCCGGCGTATGAAGGCCATCACCTGACTGCGACATCTTCGACTGATCAAACGGAAGACATAGAACAATAAATGAAAAAATTCATTCGTTCAGGATGGAATGTATGAGCAGAATTTATTAGCGATATATTATTAACATTCCCATTTTGTATTTTTCGTTCACGTTCGATTAACTTTGACTACTATCAAGATAATCGACGTATCGTTTGCCGATGTGACAAGAAGTGCAAGAGGCTCGTAAAGAAGCATGCAAACATACCGAAAGTCGTTATCAACGCCGGTGCGAGGTACTTGCCAAAAGTCCCGCGTAGGATAGAAAAACCAATGGGGATGCTGAACGAAAGAAACAATAAGAATGAATGATATTAATGAAATAATTGATCAAATATAGAAAGGGATTATCGAGACGCTTGGAAATCTGGCAAGAATGAAGACGAAGTGTGATAAAGCGAGTGAAACGAAAATTACATCGAATTTTACATTTATCGATCATACGATACAAAGATTATGCGGGTGTGTGTGGCGTTAATTCAGCAGTGAGCATTTTAAAATTATTTTACTTTATCCAAATTTCTGTGGAAAATTGTTCTGTATTTTCGTATGGATTTCTTTTATTATCATTTCAGCACTTTTGAGACAAATACATTTTTCCGCTTTTTTTTGTTGGAATTTGGTTTATTCTTATTTTTGTTAGTTTCCGTGCTCGACCGATTCAAATTACAGAAAGAACAAGATGCATATTAAATGAAAATAGATTTAGATCAGTGCAGAACTAACACATCGTCCTTGCTTCGTTACGTTATACTAATTATGAAAGTATGCACTTCATGAACGATTATCAAGATCGTACGAAGGCCTCCGGGAGGAAACAGATTTAAGATCTATACGAATATTTGCTACATCAAATAGCAAAACTAGACCGAATTTCAAAACACAATTTTCATTGTATGTATAAATCTCAAACACAAAAGATAAGAAAATTAATTATTACCACATAATTACGTTTTAATCAAAGCAAAAAACATTTTGGTTTGAACATTTTGTTGTTCTTACGACCACCAATAGTTATTTGATAAATATCACTTAATTAAAATTTCCATACACTCTTCAAATGAACTTAGACCCCTCACATAATATGATGCGTTAATAAATAATGATAGAAATGTTAAATAACATTAAAAATAATCAAAATATAAAAGAGATAAGATAACGTAGAACCTACGTAAAGTAGAAATAATGACAAACCTGAAAATCGTAGAACCTCTTGTGGAAACAATGTTCATTAGCGTTTCGTGTATGTAAATGAGCCACGTTTACGTGGATAGGTAAGTGGGAGGAGGGGAGTCCGGTTCCGTTCTCGCCACCAAACACTGAATTGCGTCCAGTACTCGTTGACCATACGGACATTAGGCTCGATGATTCTTCTGCGTCCTCGATCCACTCTGTAACATACATCAGATGCAATTTTTTTCTAGGAGTATTCTAATATCTTTTAATTAATTAATAATGAAAGAAAAAAAAAATATATATATATATATAAGAGAGAGAGGAAAGAAAATAAAAAGAAATGGAAAGATCTTGGTTCATTTTTTACGCATGAAAATGATATACTTTTATAATCGTTAAACAAGGTTCTAGTTGAAAGCACATGTTCATAGTCAATTGACTCGCGCAGCTGATACTTTAATAGAGACGCATAACGTTCACGCCTCGTTACGTAGATATTAAACACATACAGTAAAACACAAAAATATTTACACATCTTTTGAATTTCCAAAACTTATAAAACTCCATAAAAAATATTTTAAAATTTTTCTAATGAAAATTTGAAACAATTAGTATATACCATTGAAATACAAAAAACTTGAAAGCAAATTGTTGAATTATGGTAGCCTTTCTTTTTACAAACATTTACTTGTATTATATTGTAAATATCATGAAAGATTAAATATCTAAGAATTTTTTTAATCCTGATGAAATTTGTAAGTTTTACGTTATTATGATGATTGTATGCTACAAAAAAAGTGTTGTTTATTTCTCCACTTTTCACGTACTTCTTGTAACACATTGATTCTTTATATCTGTTTAACAATTTACGCTTTTTTTTCTTTATTTAAAATGTAAACAAAAATTGTTCTCTCTCGATATGAGAAGACATCAGAATATTTTTGTTATCCACTGTACAGAATATTTGTCCCGTACGTTTGCCATTAATTTCACATATTTACGTCGATCGATTTGTTCTTGAAACATCTAATGATACAGTCTAATTGTTACAATTGTTCAGAAAAATAGATGTTCATTTTTTAATGTATTTTTTTTCATTACTTTTTATACAAAGTTTCAAAGGTATATCCTTGTAATATCAGAAATATGCAAAGCTTATTTTCTTTTCTGCAAATAATAACTTCCTCAAATAACTGATATTTGAGTAATCATATAGTCGATTTTATATAATGTCAATCATTTCCAATACGCATTTCTTGTGATAGTGAATTTCTTTTTTTCTCTTCTAAAATTAGAAACTTGTTATTATTTCTTATGCTTTACAGAAACAGTCTACGATACAAAAACAAAGTACATCTGCCTTTTCTACGAACATTGCGAATGTTTATTATAATATTATCGAAGCGAAACTTCTTCAGTCGCATTACGAATGATTTTTCAAGATCGTCACGAAAATTGAAATAATACAAGAAAAAATATAATCACGGAAATGTAAAGAAAAATGTAACCAGACATGTGTGGTTAATTCAACAAAGAGAATTTTTAATTTTTAATCAAAATTCAGCATTTGTAATGTTACTGTTTTGTTTCTTTTTACTTTACGACAGTAATAATTACGATATAAATATTGTTTTATCGTTATATACAATTTGTTTTATGTTAATAATCCAATTAATTGCAAAAATTGAGTTCAAAGGGTTAAACATTTAAATGATTATATATTTGTAAATAAAATATAATTACTCTCTCCTGTACTGAATTTAAAATCAAAGAAATTTCATTTCTACTCGACAGATACGATAGCAACATCACACACACATATTAAATTTTTGTTTAATTTGATATTTAATATTATATTAAAAATATTAACAT